TGAATTTGAAGTTGTTTCTGAGTCAGAAAAATATAATTGATCGTGTTGTGGGTAATTTTTATCTATTGATTCTTTTAGTTTGTAGAGTTCGTCTAAACTGTTGGTTTCTGATTCTGAAAATGCGTTTCGATTTTTTGAAAATCTTTTTCGTGTTATTTGTCTTTGTTTAGTGATTATTTTTCTCTTTAGTGTTTGTCGTTTTGTTCGAATGTATCCAACTGTTTGTGTATGAGGTGTGATTACAAGGTCGTATTTTTTGTTATCTATTTCACAATTGTGTAAAACGATTGTTTGTTTATTCCCTAGGTTTTTAAATGACATAAGGTTTAGGATGACGGGTGCAAAAGGTTGTTAAACGATTTCTATTTTCCTAAACTGTTAGTTCTTACGATTTTTTGGTTAGCTTAACCTGGGTCTATTTGTTTAGGGTTGGAGAGAAAAGTATATCGATTCCGAAGAATGATTTTTACTTTCTCGTGACTAGTATAAGCTAAGGTGTTAACTTACTTAATCTTACTTAGGGGTAGTGATTGTGTTCAAGGGTTGGAGAATAGTAAATCGATCCACAAGGTTCAGGTATAATTAGAACGCGAGTAGTTCGTTAGATACTATTTTAAACTTACTAAGTCTAAGATTTATCCTGGGTCTGGTAAGAGGGGGGATCAAGTGAAGGATGAATAACCGAAGTTCTTCACTGTTTATCCTAATTTGAATGATTAGTTTTGTTTAAAAATTTCTATTAGTCTTGGGTCTTTAGAAAGGGTTGGGTAGTGAATCGACGTTTGAGGTCGTTAGACACTAATTAAGTGGGTGGGGGAGAACAAAGTTGTTCTGTTTGATCCAAGGATAAGCCTTGATGATCAAATTTAAAATGTAATGAAGTAGAAAATGATTTAAGATCCAAGGATAAGCCTTGATGATCTGGTTTTAAAATTAAGTGACTTTAAGTTTTAATGAGGTTTTAAATTTGTGTAAAGGAAAGATTTAGTATTTTATGATATTAGTGAGTTGATGATTGCTGTTATGTTTTAGGTGATGAAGCTGGAACAACAGGATGATTTATGATTACTAACCATTTATTGTCATGCTACTAATTTTTATTTTTTTTTTCCAATAAATATTTTTCAAACATATTTTGTATAATACTGCAGAATTTTAGGAAAACGATCTTAGATCTTTTTATCAATCGTTATTGTATAATATTAATTTTGTTTAGCGCCTGAAATGATTTTGAAGATTTACTTCAAGGTTTTATGTTTGCAAATGGAAATCTAAATTCATTGCAAGTAGTATTCGAAATATAAAAGTTTGTTCTGGCTTTTGCCGAACTATCATGTAACTATACGGCAAGTTTCTACTTTGTCGTATGTCGTCTTTGGTTCGATGTCTTCTTCCAATTCCGGGTAGTTCTATTATGGTTCGGAATATTGGCTCGGATCTATTGAGTCGGAGAGACATTTCAATTAAATTATTGTCGTATAACATTTTGTAAATGTTTTTGTCTAATTTCTAATCTAATTTTGGTTAATTCTAATCTAATAAGGTCTTGTTCGAGACTTATGGTCGCACCAGATGAGTTAGGACTGGAGTGTAACTCATAGAGTAATTTCGGATAGGGTACACCGTCTGCTCGTCACGCTATCTTATTTTCGGCCGGATAGATTCGTGCAACTTCTTAGTCTAATACCGATCCTAATCTTACTCTTATACTATCTAGTCTCAGGTTGTTTAACTAGTCTCTGCTAGGCTCAATAGATCTAGGGTATACTGGTTTATTGCGGCTGCTGAAGTGCTCGGGAGAGTCCAACTAATTTCTAAGTTAAATTCAAATCTCTCTGGTGCTGAAATTACAAGTAACTTCAGCACTTACAAATAAGTGGGTTGTTAGTTAGATGGATCATGATTGGTTAATATTAAATACTTTACATTGGTAAAACATTTAATTTATCCAATCATAAAATATAGTTTAGATCAGGTTCCAAAAAGATAATTTGGACTGTCTGAAGAAGGCCTGTAAAAATACTGTTTTTTTTGAAAAGTTGACAGCATGCTTTTGAGACCATGGTTTGGTGTAAAATAGTTATCCTAGAAATTTTTCGCATTTTAACTTAATTCAGAAAACGAAAGACCCAAAAAGTTAATAATCAGAGGCCTCCGAGAAATTTTGTTCGAAGCAGCCATGTATTCTCAATGCAATTCTCGGAGCTTAATTGAAACTTCTCTTAATTTTTACCTGACCTGACCTATCATGTTTTGATCGCATTCTTATCTCTGTTGTTTTTTCTTAACAAAACCGAAAAAGCTTTTCTCTGTTTTCATGTACAGAAAGTATTGTCACAATATCCCGGGAATTACTTAAGATGCGTAGCGAAAAGAAATCTTTTATTAAAATATTAATTCAGCTACCTGAAAATATGAGAATGGCAAGTTTTTAATCAAATTCATCATTGTCCTGGGAATTTTTGAGTATCCACTTTTCGGATCAAATAATAATTTCAAGTCACCAAAGCTAGCCTGAAAAGGATCTCTTTTTGGCTTAAGTAAGAATTCGAAAAGAAGTTTTTCGAGATACAGTTGGTTTAAAAATTAATACGGAAATCTAATTCACTTCTAAGAGTTGATTGTCAAAAATGACCCTTTCAATCCATATAAATGTCATTTCTTGCCGTATTTATGAGCTTTATTACGCCAATTATTAACACGTTTTAGCTCTTTTGCTGACTTTTAAATGCAATTAGCTCTAATAAAAAACATTAGTGATGTCTGAAATAATTTTTTTTTCAAGTAAGTGAAACGGGCAAAAAAATATAGTGTTTGTTTGGCTGATCAGCAGCTTTTGCAAATTTGCCTCTAGGTCCAATTTTGATTTATCGAAGGGACTGTTATTTATGACCAGGATATAAATGTTTAATCAAATTTTTACTCTGTGGAGAGGAGATTAGACAGCTCCAAATCAGAGTGAGGGGGGAGGGGGGAGGGTAAGGGTAGTTGCTGAAGTGAACAGAAAAAATGTCCATGAAAAAGTTTATATTTATGTTGATTTGACATTTAGTGTCTCTACAAAAAAAACATGTTCGATTTTCATGACACTTTCAAATTATCTTAACGCTACTTTTAGTTCTCAACTGAAATTATATCCTCAGTTTTAACGTGCCAATCAAAATAACTATTTGGCTGGGTGCTAATTTGATTGTGTTTTGAGCCCAGTCCTTTTCCAGGTGCATGAAAACTTGAGACTCTTGGCAGGTTAAGTGTTGCCCGGCATCCTAATCGATCGAGAAGAGAGCAGTCTGAAAATGTGATCAAATTTTGATTTTCCCTTCGGGTATCTATTGTCTATAAGAGGCGAGCGGCACTTTATTACGTGTGGGCGACTAAGTTATAAACGTAAAAACAATAAGTAATCAATATATAATGGGCAATTAATAATAGCTATCGAGAATACTGCGACCATATTGAATTAACTTCTGAAGAAAATGTGATTTTACACAATTTCAGAAAAAAAATGTTTATTATTGCTGTGCTTTTTTTATCCATGCTTTGGTGTTTTGAAAAAAAATGATATTGTTACACAAAAGCTGGGAGGGTTTCCTTTTTAATACCTAGTTGAAGAGTCCTCAAAAAATATTATTCATCGAAATTTAAAAAAAACTGCCGAAAATTCAGCTCAATCGTTTTTCCCCTGGTTGTCAAATAGGTGAATTTTTAATTATTTATCAATAAGTTTTTTGACACTGGTATCAAGAAGTTTTGAAAAAATAACTTAAAACAGAACTACGAAAAAAAATTCAAGTATTAGAAATCGCAAGTGTAGAACTCAAAACGCCTCAAAAATTGACGTTAAATTCATTTGCTTCTATGAGTTTACTGATAATAGTTCAATTACGGTGCTAACAGGTTTCAAATAAAATGAAACTTTTGACAAACCGTCTCCTGGGCAAACTCTTTTATACCCGTTTTCGAACTTGCCTACTGAAGTGAATGGGATAGCAACTACTTTCTTTTACTGAAACAGTACTTTCCCTGCAAATGGTGACGTTTATGAAACTGTCAATAATTCTAAAATGTTGCTGAAAACCTTGTTCAACTTGCAAAGGCAGTTAAGTTTGTTCTCGTAGTGACCGGAAGTTCAAAAATGTGATCACAACTTTTTGTTTTTAATAAAACAACCATTCTTATCAAAGTTTGGTATGAGAATAGAAATCTTGTTTCACACTATGATCATTTAAATGTTTGACTCCGTCAACAACCCCACCTCTCTGTGTTGTATCATGTACCGAATCGCCACCCCTATAAAAAACTCAATGGTATAGAATAAACAATTATAGAAGTTAGTGATAAAACCCATTCCACCCTCCCCTAACCACTTTTTTTGCTAAAATTTTAGAGATTGTTGAAGAGGCCCAAATGCTCTCATATTTGGCTTTTATTAGCTGAGACACCAGTGAACGGACCTGTATGTTCAATGGAGCTCTTCTAGGCAGGGTCGGATCTAAGATTTCCTCGAGGGGGAGGCGGTTTTTCATAAATTATTCGAAAATTTTGTCGACCTTTTCTTAGGTCGACCGCATTGATTTCTGAACAATCCCAGAACACTATAAAAACTTAATTTTGACATAAAAAAAATTTTGCGCCGCAAGCAAATTTGTGAAAAAAAGGTATAAAAAGCCGTTTTTCGGCATTTTTTTGGAAAATTTTGACCTTCAAAATTGATATATTTAAGCGCCAAAGGCATTTAAAAAAAAATAGGGTATCAAATGGATGTCATAAAATAATACCAAAGGAGGGACCCTTTGGATGGTGAGGGGGTGGAATCCCTGAAAGAAGGCGTACGCAAACCCCAAATCCCCCTCTAAATCCGCCGCTGCTCCTAGGTAGTAAAATTGTTTATTACGTACCCACTTTGGAGTTGCCCGAAAACAGTTTATTATGATTATTATTATTATTATTATTAATATTATTATTATAAGCAATTGGTTGATTGTTTGGTTTCATTTCAGATCCGAGCCTTTATTTGGCGACAGTTCCCGACGGTATAAACACATATGTTCTATCTATCTAATTAAGCTTGCGACCTGCTCGCAAACTACTTACCATAACAAGCAAATGCGGTTGTATTTCTAATCAAACAGGAGTCACTTCACTTTCTATGTTTATGCCAACACAAACTAAACGTAGCATGCCAACAACTAACAACAGTTATCAATGTGTTCAATTACAGATAATCAACTAAATACTGTCTAAATACTGAATTCTGCCAATCAGCGTCTGGTGAAGTTATGCTGGCGCCAGATGTTAAGCAAGAAAACAAGAAAGAGTACCTGGAAAAACTGCTGAGCTATTACCACAGAACGTTCTAACATTTTTTTCGCCGCAGAAGTCTTAAAATAATAACAGGGATAACCAGTTGCTGCGCAAGGATACCAAAATTTACTGACCACGCCTTTTTTATAACAAAATATGAAAGTTAAAAAATTGAAAACATAATTGAACAAGGATAGCCGGTTGCTGTGCAAAGAGCAAAGAAATTTCCGACCACAATAGAAAAAATTACAAACAATAGTTTTCTTTTTTTTTTCAAAATGTGTCATATTTTGCTTGTATTGTGATCAGAGGTTCTGTCTGAACAAAAGCCTAAAACCTAGGCATATTCGAAGATGATATTAAAATTGGCTAAGAAAAATGAAAAGAAAAATAAAAGATCAAAAAATCTATTGACAAGCAAGAAGGCGCTGTAAGAAACTTCGAAAACTGATTTTACTCTGGTGAAGCTAAGATATCAAGGCTTAAATGAAAACGTCTGCTCTGTTATGAGCCTGTTGTATCTTTATTTGCTCGAAATCAGACTAAATATCAGAAATTTCGAACCGGTTTTTTTCAACTTTTTCTTCTTCCTTCAAAACTTTTTATAAGTGGTGCAAATCACAACGGTGAATTCATTGATATTAAAGATCGGTTGACCCATTCCAATGATTATTTGTGATACCAAATTTTCTGTGGAAAAACTTTAAAATGGTTAAAAACAAAAACACACCCAATGACAAACTACTCCCACTTAGATTGGTCCGCGGGCATAATCAAAATAGAAAATTGTTTCTTCAATTTCTGTGTTTTAGTTGTTGTTCACTTTTATTTATAGATACAAAACTGAATTGATACTAGGCTGAAATGATACAGGACTGAATTGGACCATATTTATTGGTTAATAGTAGCTAAAACCAAGAATGAGTTTTAAAAATTAATGAAAAAAATCAGGAAGATGTCAAAATGCATTGCAAAAAAAATACCTTAAGACAAAGTTTCTTCGCACTCAACTTTAAGGGTTGGTTCAGAAAAACAATCTAGATTAAAGCAATATTAGCATTTTGTCTCGACGCGGGTTTTTTAAAGATCCGAGTAAAAATTTTAGCGTTAGCAAACAATTAAAAATACTGAGGAGCAATAACCAAATATAATCAGTCTTTTGTCGGCCAAAAATTGACCAAACACCGCTAGATGCTTGAAGCCGAACTCTGAATAGAAGTTGAACTGTTCCAAATCTGATTTCAATTCAAGAATTCAAAGACTCATAACAATTTTAACATTTAGAAGGCATAACGCTCTTCATATCAATAGAACGTACGGGGGTGTTCAACAGTGCCGAAGTACAACTGTGTCGAAAAAGGCGGGAAACTTTCAAAAGAATTTAAACGTATTTTATGAAGAGTGGGAAATTACTAACGCTAATTAACAAAGAAAATCACTCCAATTTTGGTGCAAAATTGTCAAATTAAACAATTATATTGGCGCCAAAACGTCTAAATTGCAAACTTTCTCGCCCAAAATATTGACGTGTCACTTAAAACTGTAAACCATTGCCGTTTAATTTTTGTTTGCTGTACTTAAGATGTTGAAATTTGTTCAAATTTTTGGCACTGCTGAACAAAGTTTTCATTTTCGGCACTGTTGAACTAATTTTTTTTCGGCACTGTTGTACTGCCCCAAACGTACCGTCGAAAATTCGTTGTGCAACAAAGCTTTCGCAAAAATTTAAAATGGAATGCAAGTTTGGAACGATTGCATTAAATTGTTGTTTTTTAAATTAATAAATTTTTGATTATTTTGGTTATCAGTTTTTCTTTTCCTGTACATTTGTTAGACTCATTAATTCCTTCTCAATAATAATTCGGTTGAAAATTTGATCTCATTTGCATGAACTAATTCAACTTACAGTAAAAAAGTCGCGCCACAACAGTCAATTCCAAAAATTTAAGAAAAAATTTGGACAAATAGCAAAATTTTTTAAAAAATGCAGTTTTTTTCTTGTAGAACTTAGTCCAGTTTTTGACAGCTGACCTACAGTTTCACAAAAAAAAACAGAGCTTGACAAAAGATAAAATTAAAACGATAAAAATGGAGTTTTAGTTTGTTATATCTATATATTAAACTGAATAGCAAAAAATGTCCGTAATTTACTCCTGTAGCAAAATACGCTTTGAAATATATTTTTATGAAACATGAACCCCAAAAAATTTTAAGTCACGCTTCACTTGACAATATAACAGCATTACAAATACCTGAAATAGCGTTTAAAAAATATTTTTTCATAATTTTTTTGCCCTTTGTGTGTTGTGAGACTAAAAATATCAGATTTTCGGTCTCAATTTTTTTCTGTTGCCGATATTAAATTCAGATGAATCAACTAACTATATAGATGCCAATATTAATTGCATATCAAAAGTCTGGAAACAGCAAAAACATAGACTTGATTCGAAACAAATGCCTATTAGTATCAACAATTTTTTTGACAACCAGAAATAATAACTTCTTAGAAAACCAGCAAAAATTTCCAGAAATTGTGAGATCAGTCAATTATCTATTTAAAACCGCAATTTTTTAAAATTAATTTTTTTGATTTTTTATAGATCAAGTGTGTGCTGTTCGGTTATCGATGCTTTTACAAAGAACTAAAAAAGTTTTTTGACAAAATTTTAGAAACCTGAATATTGAATAATTGAAAGGTTTTACCTAATTGCATAAATTATTGTTTATCGTTAAAAACGATTAAGTGGTTCTGGGTAAACTTTAAGTAAGCCGGTTAGTTAATTGCTCACCCTTACCCAAAACTCGTAACGATTTGTTTGGTCGACAACCATACCTTATGTCGAGCTCTTCGAAAACACTAAGCAGACCCCTTTAGTAGTAGAAGAGTGAGGGAGAGTGGGGGGGGGGGGGGGGGGGGGTGCCTGGCGACCCCCATGTATTAAGATAGGCTATAGACTATCCGGTCGCCAACCTATGTATTAAGATAGGGAATAGATTTCCAATGTATTAAGATAGGGAATAGGTTTCCCAATGTATTAAGATACGAGGTTTCAGATGGTAAGTTTCAGATGGTAAGTTTCAGAAAAATTTTTGGCGCCCGATTTTTTTGAGCTCGATTGTGCCGATATTTGCGTTTCTTAGCTAACTTCTACAATTTGTGATATGTAAGGACTATCAAGTCTTACAAAAATTTGGTATGGTAAGTTTCAGAAGGTAAGTTTCAGAAAATTTTTTGAAAATTTTTAAAGTTTTACTTGCAAATACATTTTTATCTTGAAAAAACAATTTTTATTAAAAATTGAAAAATTGAGGTTTCGATTTAGAGTATGGGATCATAAACTAATAAATCACGGAATATTTTTTTCTCGAGAGAATCTTAAATTCTTATTTCATGTTATTTATTTTCCCTCAGGTTATCTGGGGAAAATTGTCAAGAGGGGATTATCTTTGACAGGTTAGTTATTCCGCTCCACGGGATATCAGGGGAATCTTGACAGCTCCTAATGGTTGATTACTTTTATATCCTACTTAATCTTTTTTCCGCAGGTTATCTGGAGAACGGATGACAGGTTCATTACACTTGTTAATTTTATGACTTATTTTATCTTTTTTCACAATTATCTACTTAAAACCGCAATTTTTTAAAATTACTTTTTTTGATTTTTTATAGATCAAGTGTGTGCTGTTCGGTTATCGATGCTTTTACAAAGAACTAAAAAAGTTTTTTGACAAAATTTTAGAAACCTGAATATTGAATAATTGAAATGTTTTACCTAATTGCATAAATTATTGTTTATCGTTAAAAACGATTCAGTGGTTCTGGGTAAACTTTAAGTAAGCCGGTTAGTTAATTGCTCACCCTTACCCAAAACTCGTAACGATTTGTTTGGTCGACAACCATACCTTATTTCGAGCTCTTCGAAAACACTAAGCAAACCCCTTTAGTAGTAGAAGAGTGAGGGAGAGTGGGGGGGGGGGGGGGTGCCTGGCGACCCCCATGTATTAAGATAGGCTATAGACTATCCGGTCGTCAACCTATGTATTAAGATAGGGAATAGATTTCCAATGTATTAAGATAGGGAATAGGTTTCCCAATGTATTAAGATACGAGGTTTCAGATGGTAAGTTTCAGATGGTAAGTTTCAGAAAAATTTTTGGCGCCCGAATTTTTTGAGCTCGATTTTGCCGATATTTGCGTTTCTTAGCTAACTTCTACAATTTGTGATATGTAAGGACTATCATGTATTACAAAAATTTGGTATGGTAAGTTTCAGAAGGTAAGTTTCAGAAAATGTTTTGAAAATTTTTAAAGTTTTACTTGCAAATACATTTTTATCTTGAAAAAACAATTTTTTATTAAAAATTGAAAAAAATTTTTTTGGATGGTAAGTTTCAGGTGGTAAGTTCCGACGAAAATTGAGTTTCGATTTAGAGTATGGGATCATAAACTAATATATCACGGAATATTTTTTCTCGAAAGAATCTTAAATTCTTATTTCATGTTATTTATTTTCCCTCAGGTTATCTGGGGAAAATAGTCAAGAGGGGATTATCTTTGACAGGTTGGTTATTCCGCTCCACGGGATATCAGGGGAATCTTGACAGCTCCTCACGGTTGATTACTTTTATATCCTACTTAATCTTTTTTCCGCAGGTTATCTGGAGAACGGATGACAGGTTCATTACACTTGTGAATTTTATCTTTTTTCACATAATTATCTAACTTATT